TAGCCACCGGTCACTAAAACAGGCCGCCCCGACGACGTTGCCACCCCCACCCCGGGGTGCCCTGCAGACTGTGTCCTGTGTCCTCCAGCAGAGCTGGATGGAGCCTGCTTTAGGGTGTGCGGCACAGTCACTCCTACCTGTTCCCGCCAACTCCTCATCCTGAAATGGCAAGAATGCCTCCCGTCCAGGATTGTGGGGATTAAATAAGAAGCCAATGTTAGCGTCTTTTTTTTTTTTTTTTTTTGAGTCAGAGTCTCACTCTGTCACCAAGGCTGGAGTACGGTGGCACACTCACCGCCACCGCAGTCTTAACCTGCTGGGCTCAGGTGATCCTTCTGCCTCAGCCTTCCAGGCATGCACCGCTATGCCCAGCTAATTTTTTTGATTTATGGGAGAGATGAGGTCTCGTCAAGTTGCCCAGGCTGGTCTCGAACCTCTGGGCTCAGGTAATCCTCTCACCTCCACCTTCCAAAGTGCTGGGATTATAGGTGTGAGCCACTGCAGCCCATTTAAAAAAATTTTTTTTTTTTTTTTTTTTTTTTTAGTAGGAGTCTCACTCTGTCACCAAGGCTGGAGTACAGTGGCACACTCCCAGCCACCGCAGTCTTAACCTGCTGGGCTCAGGTGATCCTTCTGCCTCAACCATCCAGGTAACTACAGGCATGCATCACTATGCCCAGCTAATTTTTTTGATTTATTGTAGAGATGAGGTCTCGTCAAGTTGCCCAGGCTGGTCTCAAACCCCTGGGCTCGGGCAGTCCTCTCACCTCAGCCTCTCCCAAAGTGCTGGGATTACAGGTGTGAACCACTTCGCCTAGCTTAGCGTCCTTTCTTCTTAGCACAATGCTGGACTTTGGGAAGAATGTAATTGGGAATTCATTCATTTATTCGTTCAACCAACCAACATTTGTTGGTCTATCACTAGCCAGTTCTATGGCTGAGCAGCCGTGGCCCGTAGATGCTTGTGCAAAGATCCTGCCTGCTGAGGAGAAAAGAGGTTTGGAAAGTGAGTGGGGGTGGTTCCCAGACAGCCCACCCCTCCCAACATTCACAAGTCGAGAGGCCAAGTGAGCCCCTCCCCTACCCCCAGCTCCAGAGCTGGGGAGGGGCTCCCAAGGGGTGAGGGCAGTGCTCCTTTGTTCGAGCTGCAGTGACCTGTTCGTTGTTCTCCTGTTCTCATGGCTTTTGCCACCTCCATTCCCCTCTCCCTGCCCCCCATTCCAACACAGAGCTGATGACTGTGTCTTAGGGAGCTTCCTGACGTTGAGGAACCATAGATAAGCAGTTAGTGGCACCTGACCTGAGATCTAGCCCCTGTCAGGCAGGAGAGTGTGTCCTCTTCATCTTCCATGCCATCCTCCACCTTCCTGGGGACTTTCCCCTCCCTCTGTTGCCTTTCTGGTCCCAGGGCAGTTGTGTACTAGGAGGGTGTATGTGTGTGTGTGTGTGTGTGTGTGTGTGTGTGTGTGTAAATTATCCTGGTGGCGAGGAGAGGTGTGGTGATGCTTCTGGGTTGAGAGTAGTTGAACTGGAAGAGGAAGGGCCAGTTTCCCAGATCAAGACTCTAGAAGGTCCCCTCACCTATATTCTAGACAGTTCTGGGACTTAGTCAGGTGGCTATGGGAGGGGCTTCCTGGTGGAGGAACAAGTGTAACCAGACTCTTGACTTCTCTAGAAAGGGTGGCTCCCTCCTCCACTAAAATTTAGGATAATAATTCCTTTCTTGGGCACTGGAGGTTAAATGAGATGCCTTATATGAAACATATGGAGTTGGCGGTTATTAGGGGAGAGAAAGTAGTCTTTTGCTAGACTTCTTGGGTCTCATCTTAAAAGTCTAGTTTTTTTTTGTTTTTTTTTTTAGTGAGAGTCTCAGTTGCTCAGGCTGGCATACAGTGGCACGTTCATGGCTACCGCAGCCTTGACCTGCTGGGCTCAGGTGATCCTTCCACCTCAGTCTTCCAAGTAGCTGGAACTACAAGCGTGTGCCACCATGCCTGGCTACTTTCTTTTTTTTTTTTTAACTTTACTTATTGTAGAGATGAAGTGTTGCCAAGTTGTTCAGGCTGGTCTCAAACCCCTGGTCTCAGGCAAGCCTCTCGCCTCTGCCTCCCAAAGTGCTGTGATTACAGATGTGAGCCGCCATGCCCTGTTGTTTATTTGTTTGTTTGTTTTCAATGATTTCTGAGTTTTGCTATTCTCTTGGCTCTTCTGAGAAGTCCTGAAAATGCAGTCCTTAGGATTTAGAGAAATACATGATTTCCTGAGGTTCTGGAATGATCAGTGAGATTATTTTGGTTCTCAAAGTCCTTTGTAAACCTCTGTGGAATGTTTGATGTAAAAGGTACCCAGGAGGCAGGAGCATGGGCAGGGAACTTTCATAATCCTTACCCCCAACAGATCCTGTTAATAGCAGCTGAATTACCCTGTGCCTCTGTTTCCCCATCTGTATCGGAAGGGGACTTGTTCCTCAGACAGGCAGTGAGGACTGTGCAACAATCTGTGCAGGTTGCTAGTAGGACTTGGTGATGGCTCTGCTCACCCATTCCGGCACTCAGAACATCTGTCCAGGGACCACAGCTGGGCCATGAGTCCTGGTTTTTACCAGCCCCACAAAAGCCAGGTCTAGAGCTTGTTACAGCAAGGCCACTATCCTCCTATTCCTGCACCCCACTCTCTTCCAGAGGGCAGCTGATTATTTGCAGGAGCCGCTGACAGTGACCCCAAACCGTTTTGTCTCTTGCCTCCTCTCTGAGGCAGCTACCCAGCAAAAGTCCTGTCCTTTTTCCCTGCACACTTACCCATTCGTGGGTTTCTGTGAGAGTCCGGGGTGACTGACTCTCTCGGGGTGATTGCTATTCTTTCTCTCTTCCCCTATCTTCACACAATAGTGGACTGGCAGCTCTGCTGACTTAGCCCAACGGGGAGGAAGCCTGAGCAGAAGTGGGGACGGGGTGGAGATCACCCGGATGCTTTCCACAGCCACTGAATCACTCTTAGGCAGCTTGTGTAACCAGTCCCCTGCCCCTAGGGACAATTTCCTGAGCCAGTGCTTCCTATTTGAGAAGAGGGACTCTGTGAAGCTCTGCAATGGGTCCCAGTGACAAGACTCTCTGCCTTAGCCTAGGATGCATTGCAGGAGGCGAGATTCACCATTGTAGATATTCCTGAAATATCAGGGACTCTCAGTTTAGAGACCGACTCTGTTCTCTACTTCACCATCAGGAGAGAAGGCTTTGGGGTCCAGATTGATTTCTAGGAATCTCTCTCTGGCGGGAAGAATTAATCCATGATTGGGCAAAGTCTATTTGTCTTAATCATGGGAGGTCAGTGGCATCCTGGCTGCAGAGGGTGTTTGGTCCTGTGCTCTTGGTCAAGTTCCTGAAGTCCTGGAATGCAGCTGGTGGCCTTGCAGCCGTCCTACAGTAGGCAGGCTCCGTGGTCCCCCGGGGGCCTTCTCATGAACCCCTCTCATTAGCAGTTGTGTCAACGGAGCTGTTTTTGGTGGCTGTGGACCGAGTTAAGTGAAAGATCAGCAGTTAAAGTTAGGGAGATATAAGATCTCTGTTCTCAACAGTTGCTCATTTGGAAAAATAAACCAGTGAACGATATTTTTCTATTGTACTTTTCAGAACCATTTTGTCTCATTATTCCTGTTTTAGCTGAATAATTGTATTACATTTGGAGAGTAAAAAACTTAAACACACACACACTCAAAAAAAAGATCTCTGTTCTCAGACCAGTGAGGTTCCAGTGCTCACTGTCTGATGTTATCGAGTCTTCTTTACTGTCTTGAGGTTGAAAATAAAACTCCCTGCACAAGCTGCCTTAGCCCAGATTCAAAGCTCTTAGACCAGAAGCTGCTGGGCCTTGGAGGTGTTTGCTTATGACCTTTTCTCTTGCCACACCCTGGGGCTCTTGGGAGGAGTTGAGATCTGCGCTGCAGTGCCAGGATGCTGCCTCTGTCAGTGCCGGCTTCAGTTGCCTTCCTGGGTCCTCTCACATCCTTCTTGCTCAACCTCGGGGTGCACAGTATGGAAACTGCTCTCCCCTCTCTGGAAGGCAGCGCGTGGCTTAGCTTCACAGAGTTGTGGCTGGAGACTGACGCGGCAGCGCCTTGCCCTGGCTTTCTGTAGCAAGTCTGTGTTGGAGGAGAGGACAGTTCTCCCTGCCCCGAAGGCCTGGAGATGGAAGGACGGGTGGTAGGCCGGGCACTCAGGTTCTTCCGACACCGGCTGCCTCGACTCCAAGCAGGTCAGGACTGGACGGCCCCACTTCCTTGTTTTCAGGGTGACCATCTTAAATGGGGCTGTTTCTTCCTCGAAATGCTTCTTCTTCTTCCTCCTTAATAGCACAACCTCCACATGGCTCTCCATGTGACTGGGCCGGGAGACTTCCCCAGCTGGTCATGCCCTCTGTGGGGTTGGTGTGGTAACAACCACATGCCCCATTTTGGGCCTGTTCTGATTTACCTAGGATGAGTTTACTCTCAGGGCATACTGTTCCAGGACTGCCCTGGGCACCCTACAGTAGGCAGACTCTGTGGTCTCCTGAGGCCTCGGGCCTCCATGTGGCCTCTCTAGTACTTTTCCTTAGCTTCCACCTGAGCCATTACCTTCCTCCTCTTGGCTCCCCATGGTTTCAAGGTCTCCCAGGGCAGGTGCCCAGATGGCTCTGATACTGTTTTCTGACCGGCTGTCAGGCTTCTGGTACCTCAGCGATGGCAAGGAGGTCTTGAGGTGTGGAGCTCACCCAAATTCTCACAGACTCCACTCTGGGAATGGGTCAATGAGCTAATAAATGGGTCCTGGTGTCTTGGTTTCAGGACCTCCCCAAGACAGCCCAGCGGAAGCGGTAAAGGAACCAGAAAGGGCCCAGGAGCACACTCTGTCCAACTTTGCTGGGGGACAGCACTTCTTTGAATACCTTCTCGTGGTTTCTCTCAAAAAAAAGCATTTGGGGGATGATTATGAGCCCACGATCACCTACCAGTTTCCCAAGGTAAGGACTGAGGAAGAGGGTGGGGGAGACAGAGGGCTGGGGTATTTGGAGGGTGGTGGGGAGGGTGGTTCTATTCTCTTCTCCCCATCCTGCCAGGGCTTGAGTCTGGAGCTGCCCTGAGCTCTGAGCTCACTGCTCTCCATTCCCATCTTAGCCCAGCCCTAGTTTTCTGTTATCACCCACAGAATCTAGGTCTCACTTCTTTGTGAGAGATTGACCTTAGCTTCCTAGCAGGGAAGCGAGGCTCATTCTCTTACCCCTTCTGGGACCTCCTAGTCCTTTCAAATTTCACCTTCAGTCACCCTTGTCTGTAGAGAAGCTTACCTTCTTCCAGACCTCCTAGAACGAATCCCTTCCCTGGATGTGTGGGAAGGAGCGGGTGGGGCAGGCACAAGCTGGTGAGCGGCACAGCACTCTGCCCCAGCCCAGGCATCTGACTCCTTCTTGTCTGGTCCTGCACCTGCTGAAGGGTGGGAACCCATCTCATTAACCCCTCTGTTAGCAGATGCGGCAGCGGAGCCGGCGGCTTCTGCTTTCTGATGTGGTATCTCTCTGACGTTTTATCCTCAGGGCCGTCTCAGGGCCTCTCTGCATTCAGGGTGGCCCTGACCCACTTCCTCAAGATACTGAAGTCCAACCTATGTTCATGTCCGCTTGGCCCAGAAGGGGCTGTCTTGGCTTTGGGGCCCTTCCAGCTAGACCCAGGATGTAAACTGTGCAGAGTGATGGGCAGAGGCACCCATTGTCCCCATACCAGTGGGAAATTTCGCACATCCTCTGACTCCTTTAGAGCCTTGAGGGAAGCTTGCCAGCCCTTGCCCTCTCCTTCTGTTCCTGCCCTCACCTCCACCATCTGCTAGTTCTTTTTCCTTTTCTTTCTAGCGGGAGAACCTGCTTCGGGGCCAGCAGGAGGAGGAGGAACGGCTGCTCAAAGCCATCCCTTTGTTCTGCTTCCCAGATGGGAACGCATGGGCACCACTCACCGAGTATCCTAGGTAACCGCTCAGACTTGACTCAAGGGTCTTGGATTGGGGGAGAAGGGACAAGTGTGAGTCCCTTCTCACCTGCAGCCCCCATCACCTGCTGTGCATGCCAGCTTCCTGCCAGGGAGTAGTGTGGATTCGTTTGTAAACATTTTGCTTGGGGCCCCTCAAGGCCAAGGGTATGAGCTATCGGTTTGACCCGTCACCTCTTATCAGTGAAGGGCCGGATGCTCCCACCCGTCCCAGAAACAATAGTCACTGTTTTTGACTCTGCCACTGGCAGAAGCTGGACTCAGCAGAAGGCAGGTGGCCTCTAAAAGTCAATATAGCGAAGACCTTGACAGCATGAGCCCTGGAATTGGATGCTTCAGTGAATTTTGACTTTACTAATTTCACGTTTATGTGACTGAGGATGAGAAACGCCCTGTCATCTGCCAGGTATGGTGGCTCATGCCTGTCATCCTAGCACTTTGGGAAGTGGAAGTGAAAGGATTGCCTGAGCCCGCAGGTTCAAGACCAACCTGGGCTACTTGGTGAGACCTTGTCTCTACAATAAATCAAAAAATTAGCCAGGCATGGTGGCGTATGCCTGTAGTTCCAGCTACTTGGAAGGCCGAGGTGGAAGAATCGCCTGAGCCCAGCAGGTAGAGGCTGTGGTGGCTGTGATTATGCCAGACAGAGTGAGACTTCGACTCAAAAAATTAAAAAATTACAAAAAGAAACACCCTCTCAGAACCTTGCTTCCTTCAACTTTTTTTTTAATTTAAATTTAATTTTTTTTGAGTCAGAGTTTCTCTCTGTTGCCCAGGCTGGAGTATAGTGACATCATGATCACGGCTCACTGCAGCCTTGACCTCCTGGGCTCAGATGATCCGTCCACCTCAGCCTTTCAAGTATCTGTGACTGCAGGTGCACACCACTACACCCAGCTAATTTTTCAAAATTTTTTGTAGAGATGAGGTCTCATTGTGTTGCCCAGGCTGGTCTCGAACTTCTGGCCTTAAATGATCCTCCCGCCTCAGCCTCCGAAATTCCTGGGACTATAGGCGCGAGCCACCATGCCCAGACAGTTCCTTCATCTTTAAAGTGTGAATGATAATTGAACCTGCCTCAGGGGGTTGTTTGGAGGAGGAAACGAGATGATGCATTTGGGCTTTGACCCCAGTGAGCATTTAGTAAGTGACCAGTGTTATTCCTGCCATGACTCAGCCACAACTCCCCTTGCCCTTGTCTCCACCCCCACTGATGCCCTCCCTGTTTTGGAACCCAGTTTTGGAACCTTCCCTGATTTGGACCACCTCCCTGTTTTAGAACCCAGTGAGTGGGGGTGCTAACCAAGCCTTGTCTGCTCTTTCTCAGGGAGACCTTCTCCTTCGTTCTGACTAACGTGGACGGGAGCAGAAAGATTGGATACTGCAGGCGCCTCTTGGTCTGTGCAGCTCAGAACCCCCCCTTCCTCTCTGCAGTTTGTTCAGCTCCACAGCTGGGCTTGCTCAAACCTCAGCTGCAAAAGCCCAGGCTCCCTGGCAGCGGTAGTTGTAGAGAGAGCACAGCCCGGTGCCAGCTGCCATGTTAGTGTCCCCTCTGTAACCCCGCAAGAACGAGGACCTGATTCCCCCCTCTCTTGGGGGCCTTTGCTGCCCATGCTCTGGTCTGTGCTCCCCTCAGCTTTTCATAGCTCACCTCTCTGTGAGAGGCTCCCACTGCCTCCCCTCCATGGCTTCTCTATGTCGGCCTGCTTGCCTTGGCCCCTGGAGCCTCCCAGAGCAGAGGCTGGGATTTGGACAGCTAGGTTCAAATCTTAGGTTAGAGGATTCTCCAAATGACCGTTGTAGTGCTTTCCTCCCTATCACTCCCTCATCTCCGAGACAAACTTGCTCCTTCTCTTTGCTGACCCCCCGAGTGTATGGGCGCTGAAGGTGGCAGAGCTCACCCACGAAGTCCAGTGTCCTCAGAGCCTCCTTTTGACCTTGACTGCCCTGCTGCCTGACCCCCGAATGGAACCTCTGTAGAGCCAGGCCTTTCTCCGGCAGGCCCACGATTCACCACAGACCCTCCCCGGCCCCCGCCTTCTGCCCGAACAGAACCAGCCGGGAGAAGCCCTGGGGGTGGCTGTGGCACTGAAGGAGCCTCTCTGTCCCTCTCTAGCCGGCTGGCCCTGGCCCTCGCCTTCCCAAAGTCTACTGCATCGTCAGCTGCATTGGTTGCTTCGGCTTGTTCTCCAAGGTAAGGGTGGAACAGGATTCCGCGGGGCCTGTCAGGCCTGTTCGGCCTCCAGGCTCTGCCTGGCTGCCCGCCCTGCCTATGCAACCTGAGCCCTTTCTGGGGCTCTCCCTCTACAGCCGGGGTCAGTGTCAAGGCAAAAGCAAGTTGGGGTGGACTTGATTCTAGGGAGAAGCAGAAACTGAATCCAGGGGACTGGGTCCCTTCCCACTCTAGCCACATAAGAAAGGAGGGGGGAGGTGGGGAGGGCAGTTAGGGTTCAGAAATTCCCTACCGGATGCAATGTTCACTATCTGGGGAATGGGCTACCTGAGACCCAATCCCCACCACTGTGCAGTATGTCCATGCTACAAACATGCATGTGTCCCCCCTGAATCTAAAATAAAAGTAGAGGGGAAAAAAGAAAAGAAGGGAGTTGAAGCAGGATGAGAAGAAGAGCCTCAGGAACCTTCTGCCCTGAGTTTCAGTGTCCTCATCTGTCACAAGGTCCCTCACCTTCCTACCTCACAAGTTGGTGTGAGGCTCACACGAGGCGATAGATGGAAATGCTCTTGGTAAAAGGCGGAGCCCTAAACACATATGAAGACATACAACAGAGGCCGCCCAAGAGTCCCTTCTGGCTCCTTCAAGGGTTGAGACCCCCAGGACTTCCGCTACTGGAGCTAATTTGAGTGCCAAGGCCCCTAAGTCAGGGTCTGAGAGGAATCCCTCAGAATAGACGGGCCAGGCCCTGGTGGCCAGAAAGGGCTTCATTGTGCTCCCAGCAGGAGGACCCTTAGAGGAGGAGGGGAGGACCAACCATCAGCTGTTGTTGGACAGAACATTCCGCTTCAGCTTCTAGGCTTCTTTCCCAACTAGCATGGATATGTATGATGAGTTTCCTCCTGGGGGAAGTAGCTTTCTGCTGGTGTTAGGAGAAGGGAGAAATATGAATTGGTAGAGAACAAAAAAGAGGCAGCCCAGGAAAAGGCAGGTCTCATGCAGGAGATAAACAACAGATTATTTAGCACGAGCCCAGTCTCTGCCAGGGAGGGAGAGGACCAGTTGGTGGAGGGGCCTGAAGATACATGGGGATTGACTGAACCAGCAAGAGAGCCTCACAGTATTCAGGGACACCTAGGGGCTCTGCCACCTGTCCGTAGCATCCTTTTGAGCTGAGCCTCCTGTGGACCTCCTCCCTTGCAGATCCTGGATGAAGTGGAGAAGAGACACCAGATCTCCATGGCTGTTATCTACCCGTTCATGCAGGGCCTGCGAGAGGCAGCCTTCCCTGCCCCTGGGAAGACCGTCACCCTCAAGAGTTTCATCCCTGACTCAGGCACCGAGGTGGGTTAGCAAAAGGGGTGAGAGCCTTCCTGGCTGGAGAGGCGGGGCTTCTGTGGCTTCTCTTACCACTGTTCTTCCATCCACCGGGTTAAAGTACAGAGAAACAAACTAGGCAGAAGCTGGGACTTCGGTAGAATGACTGGCAGAGTTGAAGTCAAACATCTGAATCCTTTTAACCTGTTGTCCACAAGCACCTAGTTACTACTCAAGCCACCGAGATTTATATATTGAACCATGTAAGCTGAGGCTTCTGGTGCTAAAAAGGACCCTGTCCCTAGCCCCCAAATCACAACTTGCTCCCACCTCCCCGCCCAATTCTGTGTCCGTTCTGTATCTCTACCTTACAGCCTCCATCTGTCTATTTCTTATCATCCATTCCCACCCCTAGACCCCTAGTAGGGCGGGTGCCCTACTCCATGCCACAGGGGGATGCTCTTGTTATAAGGCATCAAGCTGACTGAGGTTGCAAGTGGAACATTGTTCTAGGAATTCCAGTCCTGACCCCTGGAACTCTGAATGGTCTTTATGCCCTTCTGAACCCTGGCTTCCCTGCTGAAAAACAAGAGGGGCTAGAAATTTTCATTTACTCAAAAAATAAGTACCCAATGCTTACGGTGTACCAAGCTATACTATTTTCTGGGTAAACAGTGGTGACCAAGTAAATGTGATCCCTGACCTACTGGAGTGAAAAGTCCAGTGGGGGAAGACAGGCATTAAATAAACCCATCAATCTTTCACACACACACACACACACACACACACACACACACACACACACACACATA